TCGTTAAATTCCTGGTCGACCTTGCCGTCTTTCTGGAGCCCTAGACAGGCCCCAGGGGCACCTAGCTGTGGATTGTAGGCAAGTGTAGGATAGAACTGTTCATCGGGGTGTCTATGGAATGCGTACATGAACAGCAGATCACGGACTTCGATTGCCTTCTTGTCATAAAGCATGAATTCAACAAACTCCCTCAAGAGCGCAGTGTGGACGGCGCCTTTAAGCCATGTAACCTGAAAAGAAGGCCAAAGGTCGATTATATATCTATATATTGTCTTCGTATAGTATGAGCTAAGCGTTAAGCAAACCCAAATTTACATTTAAATGGATTTTTTATCTTCCATCGAGTGCATGTGTTCTATGCACTGCCCGTCCCTTTACAAGGGACGTAAAAAACCTAGCACTGGTCATACATCTGCTTCATGATTATAGCCTTCTGATGATTAGTCACGGGCATGAAACACTTCATGAAGAAAGTGAACTTTGCAGTTTAGCATAAATGTGGTCAGGTTATTTTGATCGAATGAGAGAACTTATCAGGATAAGGACTTTAAGTATGGAACGCTGTTTATTTACTTCAGTATAATTAAGGGAACATTTAGACAAAATCGGAGGTAACGCGATTTTGAAGAATCTTATCGCCTATTAACTGCTCAAGAAGCAAATATTTTAATGATAATCGATGTTCTATGGAAGTGCACCGATAGAAGCAAGAAAAGTCTTAAATATATCCCTGTTAGAACAGAAACATCCAGTTTTAAGATGCTGAAAATGAGATGAAGCTATGGTTAAGGAATCATATTATTCTTCAAAAACCAATGAATGATTTCTTTTTTAAAAATTACTTGTTGCCAAGTTCCGAAAGCTTTGTAAAAAGCGCAGTAAACACATTTTGATCGCATGCTGATTTACTGCATCAGATAAATTGGATTGTAAGCGAAACTGCATAAAATGGTCACCGTTGACCACGTAATTTTCCTTAATTTGTATAAGTTTGGTCATTA